ATAATAGGTTCCGTGAAATTACACATTACAGTGTGCAGAATTACTGGGTGGTAGTGAGGTGGCTCAGTCCTGTTGTTGGGTTAATATTGTAAGCCTCCACATGGCCGCAGCCTGGGTTTGGACGAAACAGCGCTAAAAGAACAAACCCAAATGTTCTGTCAGCTTCCTTGATGTTAAATCTCAATGCTTCCGTCGCCAACGAGGCTGCGACCGTGTGCGCACCTCTTTGATACATTGAGCTATACTGGTTGATGCTTCTGGGCCCCTTGTGGGATACCCCGACCAGGATGGTCAATGGTTATGCGTCAGATGAAAGCAGTCTCCTAGACTTCCAGTTTGGGGGTTTGAACTAAGGTAGCGTTTATTCATGTAAAACTAATCATTTTCCGCCACCCTGCTGTTTTACGGACAGGCACTTGATCCATAGGCGTTGGTAGAGGATCCTAATCCTCCTCCTCTCTATGTCTGGGCGCCATGGCAGTACCTCAGCCCATATATAAGCATGACAAGTTCTCCAACGACATCGAGCAGATTATCAAGGGTCGCGTTATCTGCTATATAGAGCAGGGCGGATAAGCAAAAACATGCTACTGCTGCCACCTCCCTTCTTTCTTTTCCACCTGTTTCTCTTACTCCCATCCAGACCCCCATTACTAACCTTCCTTTCCTACTTCTTAGCTTAATTGATAGCAACCAAAGTGCCACTGGAGTAGAACCATCTGCAGCCACTTGCTCGCGACACACACCGGACGCCTATCAGCAACCGTACCTTATAAAGCCACGCTATCCCGTTCCCATGGAGACGTTCAACGTTCGCACTCTAAGACATATAGGTCAAAAGCCTGCAGTCGCATGCGCGTTGGATACACTGGGTACTGACATATGTTGTGTGTCCGAAACTAGGATCAATGACCTTAATGGGGTTGTTGCATTAACTGCGCCGGCTTATCCTTGTTATTGGTTGCACGCATCCGGAGACGCTAATACAACAGTTCCGGGTCAAGCTGGGGTAGGTATCATTCTCAGCTCCAAGGCTTAGCTATCGTTGATTAATTGGATTCCGGTGAACAGCCGTTTGTGTGCAGCCCGTTTGAGGAAATCAACTAAGGCTGATTTACGAAGTAGTGCGAAAGGCTGTTTGTTGGTGGTTTCTGCTTACGCTCCCACCGACTGCGGTTCTGACGCTGCCAAGAACACAGTCTATCACGAACTGAATGCTCTATTACTCAGTGCTACTACGGCAGAAATCATGGTACTTACAGGGGATATAAACGTACAAGTAGGGCGCTTGAGCACTTTAGAAGCTCAGCTGGGTGGTAATTATGTGCTTAACTCCAAACGAACTAACAAAGGCAAGCGTCTTTTGCAACTGTGTGCTGAGCACCGGTTGTTTCTTAGTAGCACTGCTTTTAGACACAGTGGGCGCCGAAGTGCCATTTGGCGTCCTCTTGTAGCTGGCCAACGATGGTCTCAAATTGATCACATTGCCACAAGTTACAGATGGCTAGCCGAGCAACCTTCACGTGGTGCCAACTGGGTGGTCTTGTGTAATCCTGTTCCAGCGAATGGTTCGGCGGCAGTGTTCCAAGACGTGGTGGATGTTCGCCTGGCAAGCTTTCTCACTATAAAACGCCATAAATTGTTTAATAACTCTGTGACGTGGCGGATTTGATTCGCCAACACATAAAGTCACTGCCTGCTGCCTTTCCGGAGGATCTCACTCCATTCAAGAACGTCACCCAATTCCGAGTTATTATTTGATTCCTCCTTATGTTGGCGGATTTACCGAACACAACCGCAACTTCTGCACAACAGTGAAAAATTCACTCAGCATGATTACTCTCCCAAACACTTAGATATACACATACAACATAAGTCCAGTATGTACTGGTTAAATTGTAACGTTCGTGTTCAATTACTGAGCATACGCGTCTGTATTAGTATGGTCATGACGTTTGGGCATGTCCTGCACTGTCGGGAACAAAATATTTATTTACTTATCTTAAATTACCGCTCGTTCTAGAACACCTGCGTCGAGTGTGATAATGTCTTGGGACGCTGTCGTTTCTCCATGAACTTTACCGAGAGGCGCACCAAGCGTCTCCTCCGATTGACAACTTAGAAATTGTCTCAGCCCAAGGTCAGGCAAGTCTATCAAGACGTGCTGCGTGCGGAACTTTCGTTGTTTTGTCTTAATGACACTGAGCTTCAGTGGAATAGGAACTCGGCTGCCATACTGGACGTAGGAGCATCTGCTTGTGGCATTCTCAATGGTCACCGAGCCAGTCACTGGATATCCGAGAGGTCTGTGAACCCGTTGGAATCTAGAAGACACCTCCTGGCTGGATCTGAGCACAGCATTTTCAGATGGGCTGTTGGAAGCCAAAAAAGCGAAGCCTGCGTGTTGTCAAGGAAGCCTGGTTGACCATTCGTGCTCAAGAAATGGAGGAGGCGTGAGCAACAGGCAATTAACGCAATCTCTCCCAACTGATCCGCACCACTGGTCCCAGGAAACCAGGCGTCAGTGAGACAATCAGAGACAGCGCGGGTGCGCTGATACACAATAAGGAACACCGTGTGGTCGGAACACTTTCAAGATCAGTTCAGCTGGCCCCATGCTGCCGGACCTCTCCCTACTCAGGTGATGCAAGGCGAGCGGTGGCCGGTTACTTTAGAGGCTCCATCGGTGGCTTAAGTCCGAAAGGCGGTCACAACCCACAATCGTTTTCCTGCTGCTGACACGGATTCCCTCCCATCTGCACTATTTAAGCGTGTAGGTGTGGTCCTCTGAAAAGCACTGACCTCCCTATTCGAACGTATCTGGAAGGAATAGAGCGTTCCGGCTAACTGGAGTGAATCGATTATAGTGGCAATGTCCAAGAAGGGTAGTCGCACCGACTGTGATAACCACTGGGTATTAGCCTAAATCCAGTTATGACAAAGTTACTGGCGTTGATGCTCATTCGTCGCCTCAATGCGGCACGGGATTCTCGGATTAGGGACGAGCAGGCAGGTTTCCTCCCAGGACATGTTTGAATAGACCATATATCTATGTTGCGGCAGATGCTAGAGCAGCACCATGCATACCGCAGACCGACAGTAGTTGTATTCATCGACTTTAAGAGTGCTTTCGATTTAGTTGCGTGATGCATGCTGTTCGAAATACTTGCACGGAAAGGAGTTCCTGCTAAATATGTGAACATCCTACTTGCTTGATATTCGAACACTACAGGCCACGGACGATATCGTCTTGCTGTTGAACGATGTTGGGATGGGACAATCAACCCTGAATAGCTTGTCTAGGCTGGTCCCAATATTTGCTTTGCGCTTCGCACCCTAAAAGTGCAGTGCTGCTGCAGGACCACCAGCCACTAGATGACCCTTTGTCTCTTGATAAAGTGGAAGTTGACGTGGTTGATCATTTCACTTACACTGGCAGCTGCATCAGCAACGATGGGCGCATAGCAACTAAATGCACTTCACCCGTTGCAAAGGCCAGAAGTGCCTTCTTGTACCTGCAGTATCTCTGGTGACATAAGGAAGTTTCCCTCCGTCTACAAGGCCGTGTATACAAGGCCCAAGTGAGGGTCGTCCTGCTCTAGAGTAGTGAGATTTGACCCCTACGGTCTGAAGATCTAAAGTGCCTTAAAGTCTCCGATCACTGTTGTCTGCGGAGCATTGCTGGTATCGGGTGTCAGCAGCGTGTCCGCAATGATGATGTGCATAGGCGAGTATTAGACAGTGATAACCAACCTAGTTCCTTACAACAACAGATAGTACTGACTAATTTACGTTAGCTTGGTCGCTTAATACGTGTGCCTGGTCACGGCTTACCTGGGAGGGCCTTGTTTAGTCTGTCAAATGTAAGGTGGCGTCAGGCTCCAGGTGAACAGAAGTTGACTTGAAAGCAGGAAATGAAGTCACTGACGACCAACTGGGTGCCGTTGGTCCGTCTTGCCTTTCGGGCTGGAGTCCAAGTGACTTGCCTTGTGCTTGCCTCGAGGCTATGCAGAACATGGTTTGCAACCGACACAAGTGGCGCGTCTGTTGCCCTCTCCTAATCGGATTGCCTGTTTAAAGTGTGTTTGGTGTTAAAATTCTTGAAAGATACTTGTGTTCGGTGTTAAGTTATCTGCGGGTAATGGCTGATTATGACGCGGGGCAGTGAAAGCCGCAACGCAGCTGTCTTACCGATGCCACTTTATCATTGCACGATAGCCAGCTATTTGTGAAAGTATATTGTTAACACAAGGTGTAGGCGTCTTGACATTGAATGTTTGCTTAGGGCATTAAAGTTTTCAGGTAAGTCCCCCTTCTCTCCCTCTTATTATTCTTTATTCCATAGATCCTCATGGCTAAATGGCAGCGACGCATCAGTTCAAGTGGCTGATGTACTATTATTTTGTTGATGGTTGACACTCGATGTTTTTGTCTAAAGGTACTTATTACGGAGGAGCTTTGGTTGCGCACAGATATCGTCTTTCGCTGGAAAAGAGATGATGAAGCAGAATTAACGATTACCCACATTCAACTATCATAAGTTCAGATGTGGTGGTTCTTATATTTAAACTGAACAGCAACTTTTGATTAAGTCACCGTCACGATGCTATCATTCATTTGAGAGCAAGTAGATGCTCGCGAGAAGACAAGTTAACATCTATGCACCGAAGAATTTCACGTAGCTCATCACACACTAATACTTAAGCCGTTTTCATTATCGGTGTGGATTTGAACAGATGAATACAAATCTCACGTATTGTGATACTTAAATCGAGGTATTGGCTTAGGAAAAAATTAGCATACGACGTATGATCGGAATAAAAACAACAATTATAGGCGTAGAATTTTCTAGAATTGGTGCCATTTTGCTTCTTGCGAGTTTTCATACAATTTAATCACACTAAAGTTGCATTTACGTCAACAAATACTTGTAAAACTTGCAAGTGCTGTGAGTGGAGCCGCTTTCATGATATTGAAACATCGTATGTTTCTGCTTTTAGGTGCAGTCATAAAATCTCCTCCACGTTCACTGGTGGTAATATGACTATCCAGAAACGAGCTACGAAGAGGCAGTTGCATTCCGCTGACTTTGTCAAGTACACTTCGGCGGACAACTTAAATGGCCACCTGACAGCAAACGAAATCAATTTGTACAGCTATCAGTTTTGGATACAATCCGAGCCGTGGGTAGAGAAGGCATTTAAGAGTCCAATGGACCGTCGAATAGAATCTATTGGTCGGGTATCGGATTGTCGGATCCGTTTAACCAACAAAAAGCGATTCAGCCCTAGAGGGTTTCATCAAAGGATGGTCAGCATTATCGCCCCCAGTGCCGACGCCTTAGTTAAATGTTGTAAACTATTTGATGACAAATTTCCAAATTTTTATGCAACATCCGGAGTGTTTGTTGGCTCCAATTGTATCAACGATCTTCCACTTTTTGTTCAAAGTGTGAGCCGAAAAGATCAAAGCAAAAGGAGTAGGCGGTTTTCCAATGGTTTCTACCAGACAAACTATCAACGGGTTGTAAATGCTCCCTTTGTGTTTACAAATGACGCAACTGATGCATACGTACGTCAATTTCCATCCGCCGAAGCAGTGAACTCGCCCACCTACTTTCACGAAAAATTTTCCAACTTATGGTAACCCGGACGAATTTGCAGAATATACTTTTCCCAACAATCGGAATCTTAGTTTTAACTCAGTCATGAAATGAATAAAAATCATTAACCTATTTTACCGGATTCTGTTGAATCGTTACTACTAACTGCTTAGTCATTCACCGGGTTTTGGTTAAGCACATAAACTAAGGGAACTAACAGCATCAGGAAGCTGGCATAATCGACCGCGACTTGATTACATTAAAATTAATTCTGTGGTTACGAGGTCCATAATCTGAGATCTGAATGCTGGTCAAATTCACAACCTTACACTTATTGGATAATAACTGGATTATGTGAATTCGTGTTAACTGAGTGCCTCACAAGCTAAAATATAAGTTAATTAGTTCTACAATAATCAAGAAGTAACTTGCGAAGTTGCTAAGACGAACAACCGGTGTTTTCACTGATCAAGCTTAATATTCTTTAAGTAATTTTGATAGATGCGCAGTAATTATTTACCAGAATTCTGTTATATAATCATTCGTTTTAGATATCGCTTAACATTACATGTTATCCCTACAATTCGCATAACGGTTCAGTACGATAGCTATTACTTACTAGTAATTCAAATGAAGTGGAGATCTTTGGACGAATTTTACTTACCCATGGGACAAATGACGGTGCATTATTTTTTAATGACTGATAAGGATTAATCAAAATCATATTATGCACGCTCCCCAAATACTGTTGAACACCTTTGCTACGGCTTATGTGATATTCCTCTCTATAAACTATAACCGACGATCCGGTTTTAGCAAGTCTTTTCATTATCACGAAGATGCAAACTGCAGTTTATCTGTCTTATTGGAATATTGCACGTTCTCTGCTCGAAGCTACGCAGATGTACCATACTAATGTATCGTAAACCTGCATGTTTGGGGAGTCACATTCTTTATAAAAATTTTCTTTAATAATGGCTAGTGTGCAAAATAATAGCAGAATTAGAACTAGCGGCTGCCACTGCAGATGAGCAATAAAATCCATCGGTTATTCCGAGTGGTAGTCTGTTCCAGTACACAGCTACTGCGAAAGGTAAGCTACTGAAAACTAGCCTAAGCTTATATTCGTATAATTTTAAACCACTACAACAAAAGTGAAATCTACGGGTAAGTAACTATGTCGTAAAACATTGTTTAGCAGGAATGGTCCAACCTTACTCGTTCAGAAAAGATTTGGTAGGGTTTTTTATTCTCTGAATCGTTGGCACGTGGTATTTCATGCGGTCGGTGAAATGTGAAATGTTTAATCCCTACTATTACTAACCAGTGGCCTACAGTAAGGACAAATTTTTATGTGTCTGTTCCTCGACTAAAGCAACCCTTTTAGCTGTGTTAGCTGTGAAAGATAATTGCTAGCTCTACAAGCTTTTGGTATTCAGCTTACTCTAGTATTCTTGTTAAAAGCTTATTTCGCCAGATGTATTTAGGTCACCAAATATGACTAAAATATTCCTCGTTATTTACCACGAATTCCGGTGCCCATCAAGGGACTATTTTATCACCAATTTCGTTCTCTACTTACGTTAGCTCTATGCTTGTCCCAGAAGCCAGTAGGGCAAAATATGCTAATGACACAATCATTACCAAGGGACATTCGACCTCGCCCTCCTCCTCAATCAATTTGCAAAAGTTGCTTAAACCAATGGTCGAACTCCCGCTACTTGATGCTGAACGCATCCAAGGACTTTCTGTCTTCACTTCATAAGGCAGTTCGTTACCAGGCCCATGTCAAGGAATATCCGAAACATCGCATTGAAGGTGACGGTTTGATGTTCTTTACTTCAGTAAATTACCTTGGTGTTCAATTATTTATGAACGATGATATATCACGGCATAAAACCAAGTGCTTAATACTTCCCGTAGGATGGTTTGGGTGAATATGATGAAATCAAAATATATCTGAGTCATCTACCGAACGTTTGCCGCGATGAATACTTTGATAAATTACATCATTGTAAAATTTAAGAAAGGCGAGAGTAAACATTCAGAAATACACTGTGGTACAGTGATCGTTGATATAATGCGTGAGAAAAGTAAAATGTGTTCGCTCACTTGGTTTTATTTGATCCATAAATTCTGTTGAAAAGCATGCTTAGCGTAATCCATAATAGAGGAGTTTAGGTAACAAAATACTGGGAGCTAAGTGCAACATCTAATCCTTTTAGGAAAACGTTCAAGATAGGGAAGCCTATAACTGAGTCTGAGAGTGCGTTTCAGGGTTAGCAAACCCGAACGGAAAAGCAATTCCGTCGACACTCAAGACGAGTATATTGTTCCTTCAACTTTAAACAGTTACGCTGAGCTGCCTATTGTGGCCAAGTTTCAGCAAATGGTGGCATATGCTGTTGAGGTCACTCAATATCTGATACGCTAATGTGAGATCCCCGCGCAGCCTTTGATAGCGTCCGCTGAAAATTTCCAGCAACTTCAGCCTTCGGTGTTAAGAGTGATAGCGCAGGCCCTTTACATTCGTTGTTGCTCTTCGTTGTGGTGCCTCGAACGCCTCTACGTCACGCTTCCACTAAGTTTGCCAAGCTTGGATAGCGCATTCAGCATACGAGCGCACGTAGGAATTGTGCATCCTTGGGAAGATTGATGGGTCAAATCTCCCGAATGCCCTTCGCAGCATGCCGACGTACTGGTTGCCACTTTTCGCAGCTACCTCACCCTATTTTGAAAAGTTAAGGTCGCTCTGTACGATCACACCAAGGTCACATTCCTGAGAGCTGGTCTGCAATCCGTTTGTCCCAAGTATATAGGTGTAGTTATGTTTATGGTGTAATAGTACGACGCGACATTTGTCTACGTTGAACGGTAGGGCGTTTTGAACTGACCAGTTCGACACTGTGTTTACATCGCACTGCAGTCGTTTGTGGTCATCTGGTCCTCTGATCCTTCGCCATATCTTGATATCATCAGTGAACAATAGGAAATCGAAAGCAACGGATCTCGACAAATCGTTAATGAACACCAAGAATAGACGAGCTCCAAGAACCGAGTCTTGTGGTACACCACATCGATTGCATCGGACAATGATTCTCGGACTCACCACTAGCCGTGGTTCGTGTAGAAAATTGCTAATCCAACTCAGGATTGGGTCGCCAATGCCGTAGTTCCGAAACTTCTGAAGGAGAATTCGATGTCTAAGTGATCAAACGCTTTTGAAAAGTCCAGGTAGATGATATCAACTCCTGCTCCATCACCAACAGCTTCAGTCCAGCTATTACGTGCAATTGGTAGGTTACTATTACACAAATGCTTTTGGCGAAAGCCATGTTGCTCTGGAGCTATTAAGTTGTGGCTTTCCAGTTACTGCATCAGCGCATCTGCGATGATTGATTCCATCACTTTGGTTAGTACAGGAACATGTGTTATTAGAAGGTACTTGGTAGGGTCAGCGCAGCTGCCTCCTTTTATATAGGAGTGATGACCCCTTGCTTTCATACCGTTGGAATATGGTTCTCTTCTAAACATCGCTGATAGAAAACAGCCAGTGGTTCTGCTAGATCACTAGCAACCGCCTGCAGAGCGTTTAGTCGGATGTTGTTGACTCCAGGAGAACTGTAGATACGCAAGGATAACAGCTTCTTCAACACAGCTTCCGCAGTGAAAGTGATGTTGTCTAAACCCGACGGTGGAGTAATAGAAACAAGAAGAATATTTGGGCTCGTTCCCTGCTGGAAAGTTTGGGAATACAATGAACAATGAATTTATACTGGTTAAGAAGCGTTACTTTTCAAGTCCCGTTGGATAGTTGCAGGGATATCAACATAACAATAATGATGATAAGGATAGTAAAATAGTTAATACTTTAAATATGAAAATAAGGACTTATCGTTTGCTTTGCTGCAGTCCTGCAGTCCTCTTAGATTCACAGCATCCACAGTTAACAAAAAATAATTCCATGGCAAACTCCAGATGTAGGATGGAGACGTAGTGTTAACTAACAAAATGTAAGTGGATGAGTGCATCGTCCAACCGTCTTGTAAATACTGTTAGTGTTGGTGCAGAGACGACCGATTCTGGGAGAGCATTCCACGGGTGACAGACACGGATGGAAAAGAAATTTCTGCAGCACTCCATACGACTGTATTGTTCTGCGAGTTTTAATTAGTGGCCCCTCAGGTTTGTATTGCTGTTGAGTTGCAGTAAAGGGCGGCACACATGATGTGGGTATAGCAGAATCAAGTATGCCATTATCAGGTCGCCTCGTAGTCTGCGATAGCTTCCACTGAACAATCCTAGTCGTCGCAGCCTCTCCTGGTAGGAAAGATTGCGCATTCCAATTACGTTCTTAGATGCCCGGCGTTGTGGCTGCTCCAGTGCATTAAGGTCGTGTTTCAGCCATGGATGCCAGGCTTGAATTGCATATTCGACATGGGGGCGAACATACGCACTGAGCATTTGTCGAAATATGGAGCTGTTTATTTGTCCAAACGCCCGCCTCAACAGCCCGATCTTCCCGAAGCCTTCGAGGCCTTTTCGGATTGCCTGGAACAACCCAAGTCATCTTGAATCAGGACACCCAAGTCACGTTCGAGAGTTGATTGTTGCAGTACATCCGTTCCGAGTCGGTATGAGTAGCTGCTCTGATGTCGGATGGAAAGCACCTTGCATTTACTCACGTTGAAATGCAATAAGTTTTGGATCGACCATTGATGCACTGTATCTAAGTCACTTTGGAGCACATGTTGGTCGGCGTTCGCCTGGATCCTGCACCAGATCTTGATATTGTCGGCGAAGATTAGGAAGTTTGAAGCGATTCCCTGTGCAAGGTCATTAATAAACACCAAAAACAAACGTGGACCTAGAACCGAGCCTTGCGGCACACGACACTCAACTTGTATGGGATCCGCTAAAGAGCTCCGAACTCTGACCTCTAATTGCCTTTGAAACAGAAAGTTGGCGTCCCAGCTTAAAAGAGGGTCTTCGGTCAGGTAATGCTGCAGCTTGGGTAGTAGTATCCGATGGTCTAGACGATCGAAAGCCTTAGAAAAATCCAGGTAGATCACATCAACACTTTCTCCAGCGTCAGCTGCCTCGGTCCAACTACTGCGTGTAAATAGTAAAT